AACCATGTTGATTTTTTGAAATAAGGCTATGTTCGACTAAATGATTGACCATAGTGTCACGTAATATTTTCTCCATCACTTTACATACAACTGATGTTAAGGATATAGGCCGGTAATTGCCTGGGTCGAGTCTACTTCCATTTTTAAACAGTGGTGTTACATTAGCTTTTTTCCATACTTTAGGACAACACCCACTATCTAGCGACTTCTGAAAAATTGCGCTTAAAGGTATTGAGAAGCTGTCAGAACAGTTCTTCAGTACATATGCGCTTACACCATCCAAACCAACGGTTTTGTCAACTGATAAATTGCTCAGCTTGTTTTTAACCAGATCTAGCGTTATTTGCGAGTATTTGCAGATGGCTTCAGTTCGTTTTATAAAATATGGCAGTTCATTGTCTTCATTTTTGTTGAAAACACTTTGAAAGTGATTGTTCAGCCGATTTGCAATTTCTATTGGATTTGTGATAGTGTCGCCATTGATTCCTTTTAAGGCTGTTATTGTAGTTCTAACATTTTGTTTACTATTAACATACTTGAACAGGATCTTTGGGTTGTGCTTCGATTTTATCGCTAAATCAAGTTCAAACTCACAACGAGCTTTATATATGAGCTTCTTCAATTGAATATTACACGCTTTGTATTCGTTGACTAGTTTAGGATTTTTATATCCATTCGCTCTACATCGAAACCATAGTTTATTTTTAGCTTTTATTTTATTTTTGATGTCATCATTCATCCATTCACTTCTACGACGAATCCATTTTAAGTTAGTCACTGGGACATAATTTTTGCATGCAGCCTCGTAGTGGTTCAGGAAAATGTTATAACAGTCATCAGTATTGTGTCCATTGAATTCCATCTGCCAGTTGATATTATTAAAATATTCGGATATCTTTACAAAGTTACTTTTATGATAAACGCGTTTTTCAATGTGTTTTCCTACAATTGCAGCGCTTTTAACAACGTAATCCCATTGAAGGACGTGGTGAGATTTCTTCAGAGACGTTAAAGGTGCATGGTGAATAATATCGAGGACCCGATTTTCATTTTCGGCTATAATTAGATCAAGAGTATTGTTCGATGTAATTTCATCAAGTTGAAAAGTGGGCTTAGTAACAAATTGTATCAAAAACGACTCGGCGAGGATGTCAATAAAATTACTTGAAAGGATATCTGTGTTGCTGACAGTTGGGATACTGCTCAAATCCCAGTTAATCCCTGGCAAATTAAAGTCTCCACAAATCAACAAGCCGCTGTATATATTAGACAGAAGTTCATTCGCTTTAATAATGGACGCTTCAATATTCTCGAGTGGATCTAGCGTGTGTGGCCTGTATATACAACTCAGAAGGATGTGTTCGGAACCGTACGATATTTCGCTCCAAATTTGTTCAGGGGAATCTAATAAAACAATTTCGCTTACTTCATTAGGTTTTAATGAAGTGTCGACATAAATAGCCACCCCACCTCCTCTACTGGACACGCGATCTTTTCTGAATAACATATAGTTTTCAATGTTAGTTATCGATGATTCATGCCACCAAGTTTCTGTAACAAAGATTATTTTAGGGTTGTATGTCTCAATTGATGCTAGAAACTCTGGCATTTTATTGTTAAGAGATGCAGCATTGGTATAACAGCATGGTATTTTATGGAAGGCTGACTGTTGTAGTAGACTAATAGTTGAAAATGACTTTCGCTCTAAAGAAATTTCGTTTATATTTAAATTGTCATTATATGGTTTTAAATTACTTACTGTTGATTGCTATTTGTCTACTTTAACTACAGCATTATTACGAATAACGTAGTAATGACTTGTCTTTGCCCAGTTGTTTTTTAAATTAAGAGGCTCGTTTTTCTTTTTCAACTCGTCTCGTAATTGTCTATCTTGTCTTCTTTGTGCTTCTGTCAGATCTGGATTAACATAGATGCCTTCAAATTTACGCCGGGCTGCTTTAACAATATTATTTCTGGTGACAGTGTCTGTCGTCTCAACTATAATAGGTGGAGGTTTATTCGGATCTTTTGCTTGCTTCTCGTTAGGTTCTTTTTTAGTCGATGCTGGAATGCCAAAGACGATAAGATTTTTGTCACGCTTCATTCTATCTTTGTTCTCATTAGCTACACAATTAAGCATATCTAGTTGAGCTGGCGTTTTAGTTGATTTTTTTCCGGCCACAAAGTTCCATGTTTCCGTTGTAGTTGAGGAAGCAATAGGTTTTTCCTCAAGTTGTTGGATTCGCTTTGTGAGAGCGATGATCGTCGATGTTTGTTCAACAACTGTTTTTGATAACGCTTCTACTTGCTTTAGAAGCGTCTCATACTTGTTATTCAACTCAGAATTGTCGGCTTTTGGAGGCATTTAGCGTAAATATGTTTAAACAACAGTATATATAGTTTATATAATATTTAAATTATATATATATTGATATATATATGTATATATATAAATATATATAGACATATAATAATATATTTGTATTATTATTACGAATATAAATTTCATATAATTTATATAAATTTTTTATAACTTTTTTTTTTTTTTTTTTTTTTTTTTTTTTTTTTTTTACAATAAATGCAATAGTTTCTCTATACGAACAATGACTTATTATCTTATTTTTTTTCTTTTTTTTACTTATTTTCTTTACTTACTTTACTTTGCATGTATTTGGAAACTTGCAATTGCTTAAATGAAAACACACACATATATGTCATATATGTGTATGCATGCAACATACGCATGGATATTTAGAAATAGTACTAATACTAGTCTTAAGTAAAAACAAATTATGTAGTAATAGCAATAACAATATTAAAACAATTATAACGATTATAAGCAATTTTAACAATTATATTTATATTAATATAATAATAACAATAATAATAGTAATAATAATATTGATAAATATTAAATTTAATATTAAACAATAACAATAAGTAATAGTGATATGAATAGAAGTAAAATAATTTTGATATTTATATTACATATAATCATACCAAAAGTAATAATAATAACCCACAATGAGCGTAACATTTTATGAACAGTAAATACATTTCTCCAAAATAAAAATCTCTGAAATTTCTTATGAACTTTTTGAACATGCGCTCATAAACATAACGCTTGTAATTGACTGTGCATAATTATAGGTTTTTAAGATTTTAAGGCCCTAATGACAGCTTGGGGGGAGGGTTAGGCGGAAGTGGCAGAGTCTTAAGCTACACAAAAACTCCTTAATCCATAGCTCGGCAGTTTATTCATTTTTGTTAAACTCATCTATTATAAAGAAGTGCACAACTTTAAAGCACTTCAAACCAAATGTGTCCTTATTTATCGAACCCTGAGGGATAAAAGTTTGAGTTGACCTATGACCAGCTACCCAGAAATAAACCCCGGTTGATAGCTTTTGAAATCAGACGTCGCAGCCACTAAGTCATAATTTTTATGCTTTTTTAAGTTAACAAAAAAATTATTTAAAGCTGAAATTAGGGAGCCCCAAAAATTTTGGGGGCCTTAGGCCCGGGCCTTGTGTGGCTTGTGGAAAATCAGGCCCTGCTTGCACCTTACACTTATATTATTCTGCTACTACGTCGTCTGATTTGTTGCGTATTTAAGACGTAGTTGGAAACCAAAACTTTAAACAATATGCAATACTTTAAACAATATGCAATACTTTGTGGGTTAAGATTGAAGAATTGCTGCGGCTTGTCAACATCGCATGCAGCAGCACTGCAATAACTTGTTGCCACTCCGAATATTGTAAAGCATAATTTAGGGAGGAGTAAAAAATAAAAAAGTAAACGTTTTTTTTCAACTTTGTTTTTTATTAACTTATATTCCTCGTTTTCCAGAGTAGCGTTAAATTAATTAAATCTTAGAATGGCGGTGAAACAATAAAATCTTAGAATAGCGTTCATTTTATAGGTACTTAAGATATTTAAAAAATTTTAGACTTTAGTTTCAGTTCGAATTGCAAGGCGGTAAACAGCATTTTTAAACTGCTCAAGCACCTTTATAAATTAAAAATATTTATGTTATCTTATCAAAATATCTCAGTAGAAACTATACACAAAATATACACAAAAATCATAATAAACTTATAAAATAAGTACGGTTACTTCACTCGTTAACTCGACAGTTTCTACAGTCCCTTAAAAGCAAGAAAAATTGTTTTCATTTTATTAAACCATGGAAGTATAAAACAGATGGAATTTCAACCGCATTGAAATTCTTCGGGACTATGCTTGAAACCTTTTGTTTCATAAACAAAAAAGAAAACGACATCAAGACTCAAACGCTTAATCTTTATACGTTGACGCAAGTACGTACATTTATAATAATTTAAAAATATAGTATTTTGAAGGTTCGACAATAATATTCAAGAAAAACATTAAAAATGGCGCAACAAAAACTGCAAACAACAACTTTTTTATAAACTTTATATTAAATGAATGGAGTACTGCAAGAATGAATGGAGTTATGATATACAGCAAATTGTACAGCAAAAAAAAATTGTTTTAGTTGTCTTTTTAATCAAATGTCGTGTTATGACATGCTTTTAAAATCAAGTGGTTCTATTTAATAACCGAGTTTTAATAAACCTTTTGCTGAATAATTACATTTACTAATGGTTAAAACTTTGCAAGAATAATTCATATTTTAATGTTTTAATAAAAATCATTTCAGTCAATTTTGTTGTTTTTTGTCAAGTGAAACTTGTTTTTTTAATTGTCGGTTTCAAGCATACTCCCGAGACGACTTGAAATTGCTTTAATGTTTGGGGCTCGATGAACTTCCATCTGTTTTATACTTCCATGATTTAACCAAACATTCGTTCAGTCGAACCGTTTTCCTTGGTAATATGGGAGGTTCGATTTACCGGTATTTTACTCTATTCTGACTATGACGCCGAGGTTATTTTTACGTAACAGAAATTATTCGTAAAAGAAATTAATTGTGACAGAAACTAATTGTAACATAAATTAAACACAATAGTAAATAATTTGTACGAAAATGCAGCTTAATTATTGAGGTTAACTTCATATTTTATATAATAAATTCTTATAATATATTGACATAAGTTTCAACAGTAAAAAATACAAATTATAGTAATATATAAAAAAAAAACTCCATTTTTATTTAAAAGGCTTTTCCTTGATTTCTTTCGTACGTAAAGAGAAATATATGGCAACCAAATTTTCAGTTAATCCATATGATATATTATATAACGAAGTTGGAGATGCACTTATATCGCAACTAGTTGTCCACCACATACTACAACTTTTAAATGTCGTACCATTTGCGTTAAATCGATCTGGTTCAAATGCTTAACATTGGTAAAAAAAATTAATAAAATTAAACAAAATTCTGTTATATTTTGTTTAAGCTTTAAACGACAACACAGGAAATTTTGCTGCTAGGATATTTAGCTCTCAAAATTTCCTAGGAACTATGTCGTTCAGCTGCAAAACTTCGTAATAAAAAATAACTACGACAGAGGCGATTCTACAAATAAAATAAGGGGGTTGGGGTGGGGGGAGTGCAGTGAATTTTTAAAAAATATCGACTGATCCCTTAAAAAAAAAGAACTTTGTCAAATACCCAACTACCTGACTATATTTGTCAAAAAACCGACTATATCTTGAAAATAACCTTCTTTGGGGAAGGGAGTAGAACACTCCCTTTCTAAAATCGCCTATGACGACAAAGAAAACATCAAAATAGGGAAGAAGGGAAGGGGAGACGGAGGGGTCCAAAATTCTCTATTTTTGGTTTAACCAGTTATTCTTAATAATTTTTTTAGAAAAGTTCAAAAAATATTTCAGTGTGGTTGAGCTTTTACTTCTATTTTTAACATTTAAAAAATATTAAAAAACTTAAAAACTTTGCAGCGTACTCTATGCGTTTAAATTTACGCAACTTTAAGAATAATTTTATCATACAAAGTTGACTTTACTAAGGGTTGTTTTTGTACTTGTCTTTAATGAAGTCAACAATAAATTATCTCTTATAAATTTTCATTAAATAAGATTGGTTGCTCACTGGTCGTAGAAGCAGTTCGTAAATAGGCATCAAAAAACTTGAATTATTATTTAATTCTTGCAAATATAGTTTTGCAAAAAGTAGATATATTTCTTTAACAGAAAATAAAAAAAATTTTTTTAACAGAAAATAAAAAAATATTAAGAGTTTGGAAAAAGATGCAATAATGGAATAACTGATTTATTAAGTTTTTGATCAAGTTTTTGCAATTTATAAAACAATCACAAATAGCATTGAACTTAAGCGTCAGCGTAGCACTCAGCTTCGGAAATGCTGTCGATTACAAAAACTCCTCGTAGTAATATATTTAAATATCTAAACTATTGAGAAATCAATTTTCAGGTGATTTAGAAATATTTTGGGAAATGTCTTATTGTTAAAAAATTTGAAAATATAAAAAAAGAGACAGAGCGGGTTAGAAAAAAAAAAGAACTGTAAGCTTTACATTAGATGTCCAAAAGAAATGATATCTTAGCTTGTATTAAAAGGCAGCCTATTTACTTACGAATCAGATGTCAATAAGCATATTGAAAAAGGGGAAAAATCTGTTAAATGTCAAAAAAGAAAGATGAATAAGATCAGTGACGGTTCAAGGGAAAGGGAGGGGAGGGGGTATGCATACCCCCCCCCCCCCCACCAAAACCTGAAATCCTTAAAATATTTTGGAAATTGAGTTCTTTTTTTTTTTTTAAAGAGACGCAAATAGAGTACAAAAACAAAAATATTTTAACATATCCCTCCCACCAAAAATTCCTGGATCCGTCACTGAATATTTATTTTAGTAATAAATCACTGCAGCGAAGATCCACTTTATTTAAAATCATAACTGTTAATAAAAATACAAAATTTAAAGTTTCTTCTTGGAAAGTTCTCACTTTCACTTAAGATGACTTTTTTTTAGTTGTAAAGGTTTCCAAGAGGAACTAAGGGTCTTACTACATTGTAACGTGAAAAAGCTATTTAACGAGGAAGTTCACATCTCCTTCCTAACCAATGTCGCTTGTCTGGCCAGAGCCAACGTCAAACGTCAGACCTCTTGATTCTGAGAAAGAACTCCAATCACTACACCATGGCTATTATGAAGTTATTTTGCATTTTCACTATTAATTGTTATAAATTGTTCCTTATATGAACTAATTTCATGTATAATGCCTAATTTTTGTTGTATTTATAACACATAGTGATTACGTATTTTATTATTAAAGTGAATATATATATATATATATATATATATATATATATATATATATATATATATATATATATATATATATATATATATATATATATAACATGGATTCTACTTTGATAATAATAATGATTTCATTTAATTTAACAATTGATTGTTTTGTCAAAATAATCAATTTTATTGAAATTGAAGTAGAAAAAAAAAGTAATCGAAATCAGCATAAAAAAACTAATTATGAAAAAGTGGTTAAACTACACAAAATCCAAAGAAAGTTATTTTTGAAACCCCTCCTCCCTCCTTAATCAAAAACTCCTAAAGATTAGTGAACAAATGAAAAAGTAATTTTAAAAATAAATGTAAAATATAAACTTTTAAAAATAAATGTAAAAAATATAAACTTAAGAAAAGCAAAGTATAAATTTAAACTCACAGCCTCTTGGGTCGTACTTTTCGTAATTAAACACGTAGTTATCTTCACTTGAGCCAATTATTACATTATAATACATCGTACTTAATGTTATACTTTCTTCAAAAATGTAATCAACTCTCATATCAGTAAAAAATGTGTTGGTTATTTGATAAATCTTTTTTAAACCAATCCATTGTTGGTTGAACAGGCCAAAACCGTTTTCGTAAGCATCGTAGCTTTTACTCCAAAAACTTGATTCCCAACTGGCAAAGCGAGTCATCATTGGAATCCAGACTCCTTGAAAAGTGTTATTTTTAAACTTAATAAAAAATATTTTGTTATTGATTAATTTATAAGTAATAAGCATAAATTATACTTAATAGCATTGATGGAAAAAGCAGATTTACGAAAAAAGAATAACAATAATCCACATAATAATGTAACATTATTATGTATATTATTAATTGGTTCTTATGTTTTTTTTTTTAATTATTCTTTTTGTTTTTATCTAAAACGTAAAATTCCATGCAGTTCTCACAAATAATTAAAAGATGTTTTTAGAATTTTCTTGAAAAAACTCTATACAAAAAATATCAAAAATAAAGAAAGTTTTTAAAACAAAAGTTTTTTAAAAAATAACTTTGCTTCTGCATTTTTATGCCTCTCTATATTTAATAATCTTTTTTATAGCCTTCATTTTTTTACTTTTTGATTTTCTGTTGTCTGACGGTTTATTAATTGAATTTTGGATGCTGTATTGGTTAATTTTATCAGAAGTAATTTTAAAACAGACACCTGTTTGTATTTCAAGAATCTCAAACACTTTAAAAAGTTCAAATAAACATTTACTATATTGGGTTTTAAGAAAGACTTAAGGTTTAATTCAAAAATTTATCGCTCAACTAAGAATTGTTTATGACATTTAGATATTACTAATCAGAGGCTTGTTAGCATTTTAAGTTTTTTTCTTCGCAACAGCACTTGCACAAAAGCTTTAAAAGTTAATATTATTATAAATCTTTTTTATTTTATAATTAAAACATGACTTCTCCTATTGTGGGCAAAACATATTTCGATTTTATGAGTTTGAAAAATTGGTGCAATAGTAAAGGATAGCCACCGATCCTTATTCTCATTGTGAACAGTATTATTAGTATATTCAAATTGAAATTTACCTTTTTGTATTTCTGAAAAAACATACAGTTTTTGAAATTAATGCTTGATTAGTTGTGGCATTTAGAGAAATAAAACACAACTTGTCGTTATTTTATCGCTATAGACCTGATCAGATATTAAGTGCATATTATACAGCATTTAATTTTTAATTAAATCATCAAGCATGCAAAAATAAATGCAAATATAAGTATGCAAATAGTGATTTGTTTTCTATTTCTCTAAAACCAATCCAACATTAATTTCAAAAGGTTTAAAACTGTAGGCTTTTTCAGAAACACAAAAAGTTGAAATATAATTTGCACATACTAAAAGATGAAACACAATTTTCCATTTTCTTATTGCTATCATTCTTTTAAGTATTTTTAAAACTTATAAATAAAAAACATTTATTACTATTTCTAGAATGTTATGCTGTAATGTAAAGATTTACATTACAGCATAACATTTGCTTGTGAAGTAGCAGTTGCAAAGTTGCAGTATATTTTTTTGAAATAAAAGTCTCTATTACCAATATAAAATAGTAAAAGTAACCCTGATGTAATGTTTAATATCCTCACCACTAAATCCAGTTATAATTTTGAGATCTTTAATGAAGCCATCTTGTGCATCATACCATGGATCTGCAGTATAGACTTTAACATTAGAAAAAGATTGTGGCTTTTTATTTATAACGCTATGAACAAGTAACTCATTTAAATATATTGTATACATATAAATTCCATTTGTTTGAAACTGTGATATTCGTAAACTTGACCACTGATTTAGGGGCAGAGGCTGGGTTGTAAAAGTATAATCTTTATTTCCATTGACAGCTGCAGAAATATATAACCTTCCTGAGCCATCACCATGAAACCATACAGCTGGGCATCTATCACCATATTGACCCAGATTGCCTCCAATTGTTAAATGAATAACGCTTTTCCACCCTTGTGAATATGAATTGGGCTTTAATTTAAAAGAAACGGAATAGGTTTTATCTAGCAAGGATAGTGTTGCATTTAAGTTACCACTAATCAATTTCTGCTCAACAGGGTCTGAAGTTTCTATTTGAAAAAAAAAACAAAAATTTAAACTATTAGAAAAAAATACTGTTTTTCAAAATAAAAGTTATCAAAAACACTTTCTTTTAAACCATCTTTTACATCATTTCTTTTACAAGAGAAAAAATGCTGACATTTGAGTTCCTAACTTTACAAATAGTGATAATCAACCTAGGCTAATACAAAAAAAAAAAATTGTTTCTATGTAATACTATTACCTGATTTAGCTTTACATATAAAACCGTAGAGTGAATCACAGGGAACGTCATTCCAACCAACTGAATTTGCTATTACACAGTCTTCACTTTCTTTATAATTGTTGGGCTCATTTAGCATCCAATTATAGATTAGTACAGATGTATTATCTGACCACTCAAATATGTTTTCATTTCTTTGATCATTTAGACCTGATTAAAAAATAATATCAAAAATATAAAAGGTTATGAAAACATAGCATTTACAGATGTTTGAAACAACTATATACTACGCATAGGCTAGAAGAAACTAAAATGTACAGTCAAATGTGAAATCAACATGTATTATGTAGTCTAGAGTAAAAGTTACTAGTAAAAATACTTATGTACTATACCTATCCAGAAATTTTGATCTTTAATTGTGTCATCTTGAAGTTGATTTTTAATAAACAAATTTTCTGCTTCATCGGATACACTTAACAAGTTACCTCCGTAATTGAGACATGATGAATAAGAATCTTGCCAATTATTTGTAGTTATAATGTTAAAAAAGTAACAATGGTTTTGATTATATATCCAATCATCTGCACATTTATCACTGAAATCTAAAGTATTTTTTTTTTTATAATTATTTAGAAACAGTGAAAACTTTAATGTTATTAATAAAAATAAGTATAAATAAAATTTTAACCCACTCGTTTATTAATTCACTTTTCAGTGAGAACTCTACAGAACGATTTTTACACTCTACAGAATGATTTTTATACATATTATTTACATTAATAATTTTATACAAAGGAATGATTTTTATGCATTTTTTTTTTAATTAAAATTTCTTAAAATTTGATTAATAGTAAAATTTATTATTTTCATATTGTCTACTATTTATAATATTTTGTTAACAACGCAAAAATGTTTGTAAATTAAAATTTTTGCTTTTAATTTTAAAACAGTTATCAATTTAAATAAGCATATGTTAAGGGCCTTTGTTACACATATGACATAGAGGATAGAAAGTGACTGGGGCCCCGGCCCTGGCAAAATGATAACATTTAGCAGGGCTTGATAGCCGGGGCTGGAAAAAAATGTATAATATTTTATACTTACATTTACTATTTATTAAATACTGGCATATATTTATATTTTTAAACTCTAATTTACTTCCAACAAGGTTGCAACCAAGGTTGCAACAAGGTTGCAACCACTATTAAGTTATTAGTTTCTTTAAAATAGAGAATAGGTTAAAAAGCTAGAAAACGGTTAACTGAAGACCTAAACAATTGATGATAATGATGATAATGATGATGGTAATGATGATAATTGATGATCAAACCCAGCCCCGGCTATATTTTATCAAACCTGGCCCCGGCCCCGGCCACGGCCAAGTATCAACCCTGATCGCTTACTAATTGGATAGAGTGGGGCACCAGGATATACTTTAGGTTTTTGCTTTGTAACAATTTTTTTTAAACAGCATTTTTTAAAGGTGATTGTTTTTATTAGCAGAATAAATTTATACCTACAAAATTAAATTATAAATTATAGACAATTTAAAGTGCTTTAAGAAATTTGTTTTAAGGTAACAGTAAAAATTATTAAACTAACACAATTAAACATTGTGAAAATTGCATCGGACAAAAACTAATTCTATCGGTAATCGGTTTCATATATATTTTTTTAAAGTTTTAAGAACTTTAAAAAAATAGATTTGAAAGTGCAAAAAATAATTCACATAATCTGAAAAACTTAACAAGCATCAATTACCAATTACATTAATTACAATTAGGTACATATTGTATTAATAAAGATGACTTTAATAGATGTAAATGTCAATTAAAAAAAATGATTCAATTAAAAAAAATAATCATACAAATAGAAAAAGACCAAATCATACAAAGACAAAAGGAATTAAAAAAAAATAATAATAAATTTTGATAAGAAGTATTATTAATTACTAGTATCAATAAGGTATGGCATGATGAATTTATTTATGAACAAAGAGCTTGGCAAAGTAATGAAAATAAATAAAAAAACTATTTTTTTAAGTAACAGAGTTGTATTAAAGTAACAGTTAAAAGTAAAGGAAATGTGAGCAAATTAAGCAAATTTTCGGCATGACAAAACCCTGTTTTGATTTCCACATCATTTTTCGCGCTTCTATTTTCGTTATTAATAAAAAATGGCAACTATAAGTTTACACTGTATGTTTTTAAAATAATAAATATATAAATATAAAAAAATAGTTTTTGATGTATATCTGTATCGTATTTTTTTAGAATGATTAAGGAAATAACTTCTCATAGCAACACTTCTATTAAAAAACTGTTACTGCAAGAAGTAAGAAATTGTTTAACTCTGAAGATAAACCTACTTGTGAAGTGAAACTTTTGGGATTGACAGCATTAGTAAATTCGTATTTATTTAATGAATTTGCTAATGCTTGCCAATTTTTAGGGTGATTTCTAACCCAGCTAGTACGCGTACGTTGGCCAATGTCAGAACAACGTCAGAAGCGTTATGCAACTTTTTCAACTACGCGCAAACGTCGAACCAATGTTGTAATACAAATGATTTTAGAATGCGTAAAGTGTTACAGGTTTTAAAGTTGAAATAGTTTTTGGCAATTTTTAAATACTGTTTTATTTTATTTTAGCGCAATTTTTTTATCAGAGAATTTCGTTAATTTATAATAGAATTAAAATAAGTATAGAAACCATAACTCATATACTTTTTGATAAATTTATACGTATTTACATATTATTTAGCTTGTTTTGAGCAGCTGCCATGCAAATAAATAAATGCCTTGTAGTAAATGTTGCAATTATTAAAGATATTATAAAGTCATGGCTAAAATATGAAGGAGATTATCATGCAGGAGAAAGGAATGATGACGAGGAAGATGATAATTATAACGATATTTGATTTTTTTTTACATAAAACTATTATTAACTATATGTGGTAGTGGTGTAGGGGTAAGAGTGCTCACTTTGTAAGCGAGAGGTTCGGAGTTCGACTGCCACCACGCTCCTGGAACCGCGCTCAACTTAGTTTCTCCGCGGAGCGGCCTTGCTTGTCAAGGTTCGTGTTTTGGAGTTAAAGAGTTGAGAGAGGGTTGTACCACGATTTACAACAAAAAAAAAAAAAAAAAAAAAAGAGTAGCCTCCTCGACTGTAGTGGCCCCCTCGGGGTGAATAATTAAAAAAAAAAAAATGTAACATATTACTAAGCAAATAAACATATGTTTATTTTCTCCATTTATGTTAATCTTTTTTTTCTAGTCTTTTTGTACACTTTTAATATATTTGTATATAATTACTTTTATTTGTTTATATATATATATATATATATATATATATATATATATATATATATATATATATATATATATATATATATATATATATATATATATATATATATATATATATATATATATATATATATATATATATATATTTATATATATATATATATATATATATATATATATATATATACATATATATATATATATATATATATATATATATATATATATATATATATATATATATATATATATATATATATATATATATATATATATATATATATATATATATATATATTTATATATAAACAAATAAAGGCTTTTTATGATTTTTGACTAAATTTAGGGCAATTTCCAAGCATTGACGGGATAGGTTCTGATGTCAAATCTAGTTAATTTGTTCTTTATGTGTTCCTGTATCAAAAAAAAAAACACTGTCCTTATTATTTTAAGAAACATATTGTGCCTATCTTACACTGATTACGATAGATAAATTAACACTTTAGCTACTGTAAAGTGATTTTTTGTTCAATTTTAGGTTTTTTCCCAGACATACAACAAATTTTATAATTTTTGCCACATTTTTTTATCAGATGTTTTTTTTAAATACTGTTACTGGAACCTTGGACCAAACAAATTCAAATCCAAAATAGTTTCCTTGAAAGATTGGGTAAAGGACTTTGGATCTTTTGTTGTAAACTAAGCTAGATCAAAATGTATCAATGTGATTCAAAAATATATATATATACACATTTTTAGTGTGATTATTTTAGATGCTCCAAGAAGACCTAATGGTCGCATTACAAAGCACCGCAAAAGTATTTAACTTTGAAGTTTACGCTTCCTTCATGTCAAAAAAAGCCTAGAGTAGGCATCTAACCACAGATCAGTAAAGCATCCAGCATTTTTTTGGTGTTTGAGAAATTTAACATACATAGCGCAAACTTGAAATATTTTTATGTTAATACTAATGTCAAATAATGATGCTTTGGAAAATATTGCGATGATTAAAGGCTGGAAACTAAAAAAACTCAAACATTTTATCCCCCCTGCCCCAATGGTGAAAGCAACAAATTGGTAAAATAATTTTTTTGACTTTCTTAATTTCCTTTATATTCATTGATAAATTTTAAGTTTCATAGTAATATCTCTCAGAGTTCATAAATTATAACCATGTAATATTTAAAACTCCCTCAATTTGAGGGGGTTATAAATTTTATATTTTGATAATTTTTGAATGCTTAGAGATTGTAAAACAATACTTAAAATTTATCGATAAATATAAATTTAGTTAAGAATAGCAAAAATAATATTTCATCAGCTTGTTGCTTTCACGTTTGGGGCGTTTTTCAGAAGGATTTCAGCCTCGATTCTATCCGTTTTTACTCCTTCTCGGATCTCACTTTATTTTTGAATTTGGAACTTTTTACCATTTTTATATTGTTATCTTGGTCCCAGTGCCGTGCCAGACAGTTGGTAGGCCCCCCTCAAAAAAAAAATTTTGGGCCCTTGTAACACGTCAAGCTCGTCCAACGGTTTAGGAGAGGGTAATTTGTTTTAAAAATCACTCCTTCCTCACCGCCCCACCCGCACCCCCTAAGAACTGTCAACCTTTAAAGTTTTATCGATAAAATTAAAAAGTAAGAAGAAAAAAAAAAAATTGGAATTAAATAATAATTTGATGTTTTGTAATTTAACTAAACGCTGTGTCTAGCGCAACGGTACTGTTGCTTTAATTTTTGTGCCTAAAGTCACTAATATTCATTGTGACTATTAATGAACCAATCGGAATTCAGCAAGTAGCGAAATCTGATTGTTTCTTTTTATAGGTTGCAAATATATACTTGCATACTGATATAGGGGTAAACACAATTTAGTGTACACACGTCTACTGACTATCTAGAAATTGGCGAAGTAGAGTGTATATACATCGACTGACTATCTAAGGATTGGTGTAGTGAAACGTACACATATAGACGGAGGGTTTTGGCCTGATCAGGCAATCTTTTGAATAAAAGATTGCTTTTTAAATTAAAAATCGGCAGCTGTATCTTTGAGCTGCGTAGACTAATTTAGTAATACAAAGCATCTTTTTCATAAGATTTAACTTAAACTAAGCTAAACAAAAACAAAACTTTCTAAACGAAAGTTTTACTAAAATAAAACGTTCACTAACTCAGCAATACAATCAATGGCGGATCCAGGTCACTGATTGGTCCTAATGGAGGATAGTCGGAACAACAACAACAAAAAGGGCCCTATTTTTTAGGTAAAACAACTATTTCATTTGATCAT